ATATTTAACATTGAACGATTCCGTAAATTCTGGCCATATGCCATCAGGGAATAACAATAATAGACATCTCTAATCTCGTGTGGAAAAAGCTTTTACGACATGTACATTAAAAAAAAAAAAACATATGGACGTATATATATATATATATATATATAAAAAGAAAAAAAAAATCTAACAATGAATTATTATTCTTTCTTTTGTTTTTTTTTCCTCGATAAAAATACTTTTTAATATTTTCTTTTCGTAGACGTTTTTTGTCTGTTTTTTCTTTTTTTCTTTTCTTTTTTTTTTTTTTTTTTTTTACTCCTTTCTCTCGTTTCAATCTTTCTCGTAGAACGATAGAATCCAATTTACTTATGCTCCGACACTTTTACATCGAACGGACAGGCCCCTCTTTTTCATTGTCATTAGTCATCGTTATACTCGTTCGATACATCATACTTCTCGGTATATATCTCATTAATGAAGCTATTAAGTGACGACATTATATGACGACTTTACCTATAACGTTATCGTATCGCTCGATGGAATGAGAAGATTAGTCATCAAAACGATAAAATACACATACATTCAGACCCACACGCATACAGACATATATATATATATATATATATATATATATGTATGTGTGTGTATGCATGTGTTATAAATTCTGATACTTATTGTACTATGAAACGTTGTATTATATTGGAAATGTCAAAAGTCATGTGACGGGACTATTTAATCGATAAATTCACCTTTCTCAATTCACCTTTCATTCAAGTTTAATGTCTTTTTATTTTAAAAATAGATATAAAGGACATTTAAATTCGATATTAGTCTGTATACATTAGAAAAGTGAGTAAACACGTAAAAACAACGTTTATATTATTTGGCATCATTACTATCAATGAATGATAATGCGTCAAAGTAATATATTACAAAAGATATTAAGACAATTTTTTTTTATTTTTTTTTATTATTATTATTATTTTTTTTTTTTTTTTTTTTTTTTTTTTTTTTTTTTTTTTTTTTAATAAATTTTCACACTTAATTAAAATGAATATTCACATTAGGTATATATGTTTTTTTCTTTTTTTTTTCTATTTTTTTTTTTCCTTTTTTTTTGTAAACAGTCAAAGATACGCAAATCTTTTTTTTGTTTTGTTCATGAGTTATTACGTTATAAGCGAATGACCGATAGAATTGACATAATCATTGAAATGAAAGTTTCAAGGTCGACATAAGAAGATACATTGTAAAAAATTTCTATCATATTTAATATGTCAACAATGTCGAATATGTAAAAATCTTATAAATTTTCTTTCGAATTTCATCACGATAAACTTTGCGATTATCGAAGATAATATTTTTAGGTAAGTGTATTTTCGTCGTAAAAAAAATATTGTTTAAAACAAAAAAAAAACGAAAAAAGAAAAAAGGGGAGGAAAATCATTTTGCAACTAACAAATTCTATTTTCGTATATCCCTCATTTCACGCTTGTGTAATTTTTTTTTTTTCTTTCTTTTCTTTTCTCTAAAATCCAAACCTATATATATATATATATATATATATATATATATATATATATATATATATCTTGTTTATTAACCGATTATTCTTAATGATCATTATATAAATACTAGATAATCATTTGGTAACGAATTTTCGGACGACGGTCTCAGTTATATCGGCAAGATGCCAAAGAGGGCACTAATACTATCGTGACTTGTTGATTAACGCTGTCGTTTTAGAAATAAATATTCAAAGAACACGTGAAAATAATTTAATTCACGTGAATTTAATACAATTTATATATATATATATATATATATATATATATATATATATATATATATATATATATAATAATCGTCTCGTTATCGTCAATTATATTTCCTGCTTACCATTTAATTTCATTTGTATTACGAACAAGAATTATGAATCATCAGGCAAATTGTTAGACATTAACACAATATTTTGACGTCATAAATGAAAAACGTTTCTTCCCACGTTGCAATTGTTTTTCTCTTCTTTTTTTTTTGTTTTCTTTTTTGTTTTTTTTTTTTGAACGACTCACAGTTACATAATAACATGTTATATGATCAAACGTGATAATCGATGCTCTAGAACTCTAACTTTTGAATGTTGACCCTTTGATAATTTTTGTGTATTGTTTTCTTTTTTTTTTCTTTTCTCGGTTTTTCCTATTCCTTCTTAATTCTTCTTTCTTCTATTTTGTCTTTGTTTTTTTTTTTTTTTTTAGATCGACCTGCGGCAGAAATTGTGGAGGATCATGGGCGCGGGCATTACCACCTACACATCCTGCAGCAAAGGACATCAAACAGAGAGATATTCACGAAGTTTCTGGAGATGTTGTTCCTATAAACATGGTCAAGGGTATTGGACATCTCAGAGATCCTCGTCTAAATAAGGTATAATTTAAAAAAGAAAAAAAAAAAGAAAAAAAATATATATATATATATCGTAAAATTTCTAAATGATACGTATCAATGTTTCCGCTTAATTGATAAGGATCTTTTCGTGACAATCGAAATACTATGATATTCAATACAGTCATTATACTTTATTATTTATTTAGAGAATAATCTAATTACATTACACGCTAATCTGATTAGTCCGTTTCGGGTCTACTTCATAAAAAAAAAAAAAAAAAAAAGAAAAAAAACAACGAAAAATCGAAGAACCAATATTCGAAATAATTTCTTCTGTTATTTTTTATTTATAGAAAATAGATACCGCACGTAAATAGTGAAATAAAGAAAAAAAGAAAAAAAAAAAAGGGGAAAGATACAGAGAAAACCACATCGTAAAACTTCTGCTGTCAAGCTTTCAAAATGTGTTTTATAACTCTACTTATGATAAAAGAGTACTTATTGAAATTACCATTGTAGACGGCATGAGTAATTGTCCAAAGCCACAAAAGTGTGGCCGAGGGGAACTTATTTATGATTGATAAGGATTACGCAGAAGTTGTAAATTTGATTTCATTGTGTATGTCATCGAATAGGGCTTGGCTTTTACACTGAAGGAGAGAATATCCTTGGGAATTCATGGTCTCCAACCGCCACGATTTAAGACTCAAGAGGAACAATTGGCATTATGCAAGGCCTCGGTTATGAAATATACCGAAGATTTGAATCGTTATCTTTACCTTGTCGAATTGCAGGTTAGATAATAGATATTAAATTTAATTAGATTTTATCAAAAAAAAAAAAAAAAAAAAAAAAGAAAAAAAAAATATATATATATAAAACGAGAGAGAGAGAGAGAGAGAGAGAGGGAGGAGAGAGAGAGAGAGAGAGAGAGAGAGAGAGAGAGAGAGAGAGAGAGAGAGATAATAATACATAAATAATTATGAATAATATCTATAGGAAAGAAACGAAAGATTGTTCTTTCGTTTGTTAAGTGAAAACATCGAACAAATGATGCCAATCGTTTATACTCCAACCGTTGGATTAGCCTGTCAGAAATTTGGTGTGATTTATCGTCGACCACGTGGATTATTCATAACAATATACGACAAAGGTCATATTTATGAAATTCTAAATAATTGGTTGGTATATTACATTTATCATTTATTATAATATTAAATGGGATTAATGATGCCAATAATAATTATTACTTCGTATGATATTTCTTATTAAATTAAAAGGCCGGAACAAGCGGTACGTGCAATTTGCGTTACCGATGGTGAGAGAATCTTAGGTCTGGGTGATCTTGGAGCATGCGGAATGGGTATTCCAGTTGGAAAATTGGCACTTTATACTGCTTTAGCTGGTATTAAGCCACATCAATGCTTGCCAATTACTATAGACGTTGGTACTAATAATGAACAACTTCGTGATGATCCTCATTACATTGGTTTGAATAAACCGAGAAGTCGAGGCGCTGAATATGACGAATTGATCGACGAATTTATGGCCGCATGCGTTCAAAAATATGGACAGAACGTTCTTATTCAAGTAATTTATAAATATATATTTTTTATTTATTTATGTATATATATATATATATATATACACATAACATCTAATTTCTTATTTGATTTAATTAATATTAATCATTTCAGTTCGAGGATTTTGGAAATCATAACGCTTTTCGTTTTCTCGACAAGTATCGTGACAAGTATTGCACTTTCAATGACGACATTCAAGGAACAGCTGCGGTAGCAGTTGCAGGTATACTTGCATCGAAAAGAATAACGAAAAAGAAAATGTCCGAGAATAAATTCGTCTTTCTTGGTGCCGGTGAGGTAGGCAAAGATTTTGTTTTTTAAAAGAAAAAAATAAAAAAAAACAAACAAACATACAAACAAAATGAAGTAAACAAATATTTCAATTTAAAATTTATTTCGACATTATCTTTAATCTAAAACAAAATAGGCAGCAATAGGTATAGCTGATCTTTGTGTAAAAGCCATGGAAGCTGATGGTTGTACAGAGAATGAAGCTAGAAATAATATCTGGATGATGGATATAGATGGGTTATTGGTAAAAAATAGACCGGAGGGTAATCTCGAGGGTCATAAAATTTGGTATGCCAAGGATTACAAAGTAACGAAATCTTTGATCGAGATTGTGCAAGAAATAAAGCCAACTGTATTGATTGGTAAGTAACCCTTAGCCCGTAAACAACACGTGCCGATTTCTTTCTAAAGTGGAATCATTTAAATAGGAGCCTCGGCAGCGGCTGGAGCATTTACTCCTGAAGTTTTAAAAGAAATGGCGAAGAACAATGAAAGGCCATTGATCTTTGCCTTGAGCAATCCAACCAGTAAAGCCGAGTGTACAGCTCAACAGGCTTACGATTATACCGATGTAAGTTAAACAATCGGTATGAATCCTTTTTTATTACATTTCTATTTGTTTTATAGGGTAGATGTATATTCTCTTCTGGTTCACCGTTTGGCGAAGTTAAACACAATGGAAAGATTTACAAACCTGGCCAAGGTAACAACGCTTACATCTTCCCTGGAATTGCATTGGGTGTAATAGCAACCGGTGTACATCATATCACCGAGGATTTATTCCTTATCTCTGCCCAAACTATTGCCGATCATGTAACTGATGAAGATCTTGCAATGGGTAGCTTATATCCACCGTTAAGTACTATCCGAGAATGTTCAATCGATATTGCCGTTAAAATAGCTAATTATGCTTATGCAAAGAGTAAGTAATTATCATCGATAATTTATTTAATTATTTTCTATACGATTTATAAACAATTAATAATGTATATTATTGAACGATCGATATACGTTCTTATAATTATTTCGAATTATTCATAAATCTTAATTAAGGGAATAACATTGATCGATTGTATTTTAATAGGTGGCTTGGCCAGTGAATATCCCGAGCCAAAGGATAAACGACAGTTCATCGTCAGTAAAATGTATGATGCCAATTATGATAGTCCATTGCCAAATCTATACGATTGGCCGGTTGATTATGCCAGTCCTCGTGTTCTACCAGACAAGTAAGTATTATCAAATATTTTCTTAAGATTTAATTTAAATAGAATTTATTTCGATCGAAAGCACGCATCCAAAGATAATACGTAAAATTCAAAAGAGAGAGAGAAAAAAAAAAAAAATAAAAATAAAAATAAAAAGCAATGATTTAGTTTTATATCATAATGTTGTAGAAACGAAAGAGAATGATTATTTATATTTTTATTATCGAAATTTAATAATAATCTCAAGTGAGAACGAAAGTATCGACGTGACGCTACGTGTGTCAGATATTTGGTAGGATTTAGTTAAGAATGAAAATGTAGTTTAGATTATTAGGACGTAAAGTGCACGTACGTAGCTTGTTATAACATTTCAATCCATTTTTTTTATCTTTTTCTTTTTCTATTTCTTTATCTTTTTCTTTATCTTCTACTACTCTTTTCTTTTCTTCTTATTTCTTTTCTTTTCAATTTCATCCAATTTTGTAGATCATATCGATGAGGAATGTTGTTGTATTAATGCGTATTTGTATTAACCAATGTAATAATAATTGTTAAGATGCTTAAAGAATGTGATTTAACAAGGAAAAGAGAAGAGTACAAAATAAGCTTTTGGTTGTAGCTCGATTTTTAAAGCATTTGTAAGCTTATTTAATACTCGTTGCAACGAAGATAGTAGAATTTATATCTATAATAATTGGACAAAATGTCGTCGTAGGTTTGCCTTTTTATTCCTATTCTTTTTTTTTTTGTTTTGTTTGGTTTTATTTTTTCTTTTTTTTTGTTTTTGTTTTCTTTTTCTTTGATCGCTCTTTTCTTTCTCATACCTTTTAAGAATACTTTTTCTCGTTGCTACGAGTATTTCTTATATCTAATTTTTATCTTAGCAAAGTTATCTTGCTTAGATTCTCAATCATATTCGTTCACTTGAAATCAATATTTCTTTGTCTTTTTCTTTTCTGGTTTTTTTTTCTTTTTTTTTTTTTTTTGGGTTTTTTTCTTTTCCTTTTCATTTTCTCTTTCATCCATCATCGTCTAAATCACGAAAACCGCTCAACGAAATTCATTCGTTCATTGTAATTAACTATGATATAAGCCGCTGAAGCTATGATTAATCTTTTTCAGAGTCACTGTAGAAATCCGCCACGATTTAAAACATCTGTAGCGGATTTCACCGGATGTGGATATTTGAAGGGTATCATAATAAACTTTAAGATTTACAGTAGTAAAATTATTACTGTGTCATGGTAAAAAAAAAAAGAGAGGGAGAGAGAGAGAGAGAGAGAGAGAGAGAGAAAAAGTGAGTGAGAAAGGGAGAGAGAGAGAGAGAGAGAAAGATTGATTTGCCAAATTCGTCATTCTTTTTTCTTTTTTTTTTTTTTTTGTTCTTTTTTTTCTTATTTTTTTATTTTTTTCTTGTTAAAAAGAACAGTACACAATTTGTTCGAACGTATTTCTAATCATAAGAGACGTTCTTTGTCGTGTGATTAAACGGCAATGTGTGTGTGCTTCTTATAATGATGTAACTTGCACAAATGAGTGAGAGTGAGACTGAGAAAATGAGAGTGAGAGAGAGAGAGAGAGAGAGGGAGAGAGAGAAAGAGAGAGAGAGAGAGAGATAGAGACGCGTTAATGTTTCTTCAAGGAACAAATATTAACAAAACCATATAACGGGTGTCGTAGTGCGTTCTAATATCCTTTATGTTCTCCTTCGTCCCATTGACAGTATTAGAAAAAAAAACAAAAAAAAAAAAAAAAAAAAAAAAGAAAAAAAATAAAAAAGAGATCAAATTCATTCGGTATCTTCAAATCGTTCTTTTTTATTTTTTAAACTAATTGAAAGTAATTCGAGAAAGTACATGGACCGGTTGTTTGTACATAATAAAAAATTACGTCTTACAAATTCGATAATCAAAATTTCGATTAATTTTAATGTATACGGTATACAATATATATACATATAATACGTGCATATATGCGTGTATATATATATATATATTTTATTTTTTTCGCTTATATATGTGTGTATATATATATATATATATATATATATATATATATATATAAAAGCAAAAAATAAATTAATTTATTCGATAAAATTTAATGTTAATTCGATTAATTTATAAAATGAAGGACTGATCGATCGATTAAAATACAATACTTTATAAATTTTGTATTGTAAGAGAAAGAAACTAAACAAACAAAAAAATAAAAAAATAAGAAAAGAAAAAAGAAAATTACCATTGAGAATTGAATTGACAATGCATTCTATTTCGTATGAATTTTCAATAGGAAAAATCTAATTTTCATTTCGAATTTAGATCGGTCACATCGGTGATTTTATTTTGTACGGAGACTAATATCGTGAATAAGGAAAAATTAGAGATATATTAGACGAGATATATACATTCTGTCCAAAAAAAAAAAAAAACAAAAAAAAACAAATCCTTTTATCCTCGATTTAATAAAAACCAATCCTCCTAATCCAACAAGGATCCTGGATTTTGAAGATAAGTGATTACAACTAAGTGCACGCTTTTGCGCTGATGCATTTCTTTTTTTCTTTCTGCGATATTTGGTATGGGTGTATATTTTTTGGTTTGATTTGTTTTCCATCTTTCTATCTTTCTTTCTATCTTTTTTCTTTTCTTTTTCTTTTCTTTTTCTTTTTCTTTTTTTTTTTTTTTTGTTTTTTTTTTTGGTTGGTTTCTATTCTCTCAGTTTCGTTTATTAACCTTCCTTTCCTATTATTATTATTATTATTATTATTATTATTATTATTATTATTATTATTATTATTATTATTATTATTATTATTATTATTATTATAATATATCTTTTTTCCTTCTTTTCTTTTCCTTTCTTTTCTATTCAAAATCTCTAGCCGAACGAAAAAAGCTCTACATATATGTATGTATGTAATATAAAAGGTAATTTACACGGAGTGACGAAGTTCCTACGAGAAAAAGAAAAAAGAAAAAGAAAAAAAAAAATTATCCAGATTTCGATTTTTAAAAGGCACACTATAATTATTAATTGATCCTTTTTTTATTGACTCACAAAATCTGCGTTTGTTCTTTCTTTTATTCCTTTCTTTTCTTTTCTTTTTTTTTCCTCCCTTTTTTCTTGTTTTTCTTTTTTATCAAAGAAAAAGCATTTTCTCCAGTTTATTTCGTAAGAAAATTGAAAAATGTTTGAACATTCTCTTAAATCTTTCAAGATCTTCGTTATTATTGTTATTATTATTATTATTATTATTATTATTATTATTATTATTATTATTATTATTATTATTAGAGTGAGAATCATATTGTAGGAATTTTTATATTTAATTTCTTTTTCTTCTTCTTTAAACTCGAACTCGATAATTTATTTAATTTATTTATTTTTTTCTTTTTTTTTTTTTTTTTGAATCAAAGAATTCTATTTATTTACGGTTATTAATCTCGATATTTCCTTTTCGATATTAATAATATATACTAATTTCTTTTCACGTATAAGCGTACGTATTTAATAGTAGGAATTATCGTCTCGAATGTCGCATGTGTTGTTGTTAACAATGTCTATGATATAACAAAACTTTCTATAAATGATACATAATACACAAATTATGCTTGTCGTTATAATTGCGATTTGAACATCTTATTAATGATTAACAATCTCGTGAGAGTGAAATTTTTTTTCGTTTCTTTTCTTTTTTTTTTCTTTACCAGTGAGATGATTTATCATTATTTCCGATATTATATGTGAGTGCAAAACATTTGTCAGGGCTTCCCTCAAAAATCTTCAAAATTCTCAAGGTTTAGCCAAACGATAAAATTGTCGATAATATTTTTGAATAAATTATTTTTGATGAAAATGAAGTAAAGTAATATAAAAAAATTATACGAAATCATTTAAAAGAAAGCTTTTTTTGTTTTTTACATACGTGCATACATACAATATATATATATATATATATATATATATATATATATATATATATATATAAATATATGTATATTGCTTGGCTAGGCGTTTAGAAAAATAAAAGTAAACAATTTTTTGTATAATGTCATTTTAATTATGACTAACCGTGTTCTTCTCCCAACAGATTATGACGTGTTGGCGAGTGTTTAACAAGGCAACGTCTGTGAAACAAAATATATATACACACACATACACTCATTCGAAATTTATTTTAATGGACTGAAAAGTACGATCGTTCTCTTAGCCCTTAACGTATATATTACATTATGGCAGAATTAATTAAATAATTAGTCTAACGATAATAATAATGAAAAAAAAAATTAATAATATTACAGTAATTAAAGTTCCATAAATGTCAATACGGGTTGTTGTTACAATAGTTAAGGGTTGAGACTGATCAGACCGAACAGTATTTAATTATAATAATTAAAATGTTTGTATGAAAGAAAAATGAATTTACTTTTTACCAGCCGATATATATATATATATATGTATGTATATATATATATATATATTACTATTATTATTTTCGTCGTATGATATTTATGTAATAATATCCTGTACTTATTTATTTTAAATTTACGAAAAGAGAAAAAGTAATATTATTTAAAATATTAAATTTAAATTTTATTTTAAATATTAAATTTTAATCAGAGCTTGCAATATTTAACAAGAAAAAAGTAATATCGTTCGGTCAAAGATAAAGAAACGAAGTAAACATTCTTAATTCAAGATATTAACGAAATTAAAGATAGTAATCGAAAATATTTAAATCGAGTATTCAATGTTCGTCGTGTGAAAAAAAACAAAAAAAAAAAAGCAAAAAAAAAATATTGCATATATCTCATTAATTGTTCCATGTAATGCACAATGTCGCATTAGTTGTATCACTTTCTTTTCTTTTTTCTTTTCTTTTTTATCTCTCTTTTTTTTTTCCTCTTCTTCGATATAAATAAAATCTCAGGAGGATCATTGTACTTTACAGAATATTGTAATAACAGTATTTTTTGTACAACATTTTCAATGTGCAACTTTTTATTCTAATGAAAAAAAGCGAATACAAGAAATGTCAATATATAAGATTCACATAAGTTAAGACCATTTTGTCAAAGGGTTCCTACGTTATATGTGAAAAAAGAAAAGAGAAAGAAAAGAAAAAAGAAAAAAAAAGAAAAAAGAACGAAAATAGACAAATTGATCGATTGAACCATCGAATAGACTTAAATTACTGCCACTTTGTCGAAAATAAATAAATAAAGATTATTTCCTTCGATACGATCGATACGATCTTTCATATTCTTGCATATACGAAAATTTCTTATAAGAAATTATACGAACAAGAAAAAGAAGAAGAAGAAGAAGAAGAAAGAAGAAGAAAATTAAGGAGAAGGAGAATAAGAAGAAATTTAAGAACAAACATTTTGCTCATTAAAATCGTAAGCTATTTTTTTTGTTTCGACGTTATAAATAAATGTTAAATCCTAAATGTTAATCCTTGTATCGATATAAATGATGTCTTCGATAAATATACCTAAAATACCTCTTAATAAAAAAAAGCAACTAAGAAATAGGATCTCAAAAATGAAATAAACGTATATTTAGTAAACAAAGCTTTTATGAACAAAAATGTCTATTTACATACTTATAAAAATTATTTCGATCATTTGACAAACCATCTTTCTCTCTCTCTCTTTCTCTCTCTCTCTCTTATATATCAATCGTTAATTACAATAATTACTTATTATAGTAGCCATCGAATGTATTACGAGAACAGCACCGATCATTTGAAAAAAAATTTATCTTAAAGATGTACCTTCAGTTTTGATTTCTAATTTTTAATATCTCACTAAAATATCTCAATACTTAAAATTACATTAACTTATTAATTTTAAGTTCGAACATTTAGTAAGTCGTATGAACTTTCTCGATGGTCATTTAAATGAAAATAAGCACTTAATAGATAATTATTAGTTTAGATTTCTTTAGGCACTCTCATAGGAAGAGTTTGGATCAAAATCTGGATCGTCGTCGTCGTCGTCGTCGACGTCGTCGTCGTCGTCATCGTCGTTCTCCAAATCAAGATCATCGAGATTTTGAAATAAGCTTTCATCGACTTTAACTGCATCTCCTGATATAAAATAATGATCATATCATTTTATTATCACAAAAAAAAAAAAAGAAAAGACAGAGAGAAAAATTCTTTACCATCGTCTAAGAATTTGAGATCGGATTGATCCAATGTTTTATCAGTCATAAATAATTCTCTTCCGGTTAATTTCTTTCCCTCTCGCTCTGCCATTTCTCTTCTCTTAGTATATCCCATTTCTTCGTCAAACTTTTCTTTCCAACTAAGAAACGTTTCTACGGTAACTCTTGTTCCTTCGAATCTTTTCTATTTGAAAAATATAAAAGAACAATATATCCTTTAATTAAATAAAAGACAAATATTATAATCATTTCATATGTATCATAACTTACTCTTTCAGCTTCTTCCTCCTCTTTTAATTTCAAAGCGGCTGATTCTTCTCTGTGCAATTTGATTTTATCCCATTGTACATTCATCCATTCCTGTGATGCGCTAACTAACGTAAATACCATTACCATACCTAAATTTTCATTCATTTGTTCGACCAAATGTTCCTTCAATTTCTCCCCGCTACCGTTCTCAAAATTTTCTGGATCTTGAATAGAAACAACAAGGGGTTCGTCTGGATATTTTGACGTATAAGTAAATTCTAATCTACAACTCAGTCCATTATCTGTTTCAGCTTCATATTCTTCTGTCTTGATTGGTATAGCAAACGAGTAGAATGGTTCTGTACTTAATACTAAAGGTAGACAAAAAAAAAACAAAACCATTTATAAAGTCAATATATTAATTTTATATTACAAATAATTTAATTGTAATTATAATATAAAATACGATAAGGAATATAGTCCGTTTATGAAATATAAAATAATTACTTTTAATGGAAAAGAAAATTATAGGTTATGATAAAGGAAATAAAAATTTTCATACTTTCCAATTCTCCGCAATAAATCGATTCCAAAGCCTCGATTTCATTTCGTTGTTCCT